AGGGGCAGGAGGTATGCCTGTGAGTTCGAACTTGCCATGTAGGTTGTTATCCTTGGTCATGGCACGCTCACCTTCACACACCTGAATAAGCACACCAGGCTGGTTGTCAGAGTAGGGAGTGAAGGTCTGTGTCTGTCTGGTAGGAATGGTAGTATTATGCTTGATGAGAACAGTCATGACTCCTCCAGCAGTTTCAATGCCAAGAGAAAGTGGAGTGACATCCAACAGCAGCAAATCTTGAACATTTTCAGATTTGTCTCCAGAAAGGATGGCTGCCGGGACAGCGGCACCGCAAGCAATAGCCTCATCAGGGTTGATGCTCTTATTCAGTTCTTTCCCGGTGAAGAAATCTTGTAGAAGTTTCTAAATCTTGGGGATATGGGTAGAACCACCCACCAGGACAATATCGTGGATCTGAGACTCGTTTAGCTTGGCATCCCGAAGGGCTCGCTCTACAGGGTTCAGGGTGCCACGGAACAGATCAGCATTTAATTCTTCAAACCGGGCACGAGTAATAGAGGTACAGAAGTCATTTCCTTCATATAGAGAATCAATCTCAATACCGGCCTGCGTGCTGGAACAAAGTGTGCGCTTAGCACATTCACAAGCAGTACGGAGACGACGAACGGCCCTCTTGTTTTCACTGAGGTCCTTCTTATGTTTGCACTTGAACTCTGCAGTAAAATGGTTGACCATTCTGTTGTCAAAGTCTTCTCCACCTAAGTGGGTGTCTCCAGCTGTGGATTTGACCTCAAAGATCCCATCTTCAATAGTAAGGATTGACAAATCAAAAGTGCTACCTCCTAAGTCAAAGATCAGCACATTCCTTTCAGCACCAACCTTCTTGTCTAAGCCATAAAGCAACAGCAGCAGCAGTTGGCTCGTTGATGATTCGAAGTACACTGAGACCAGCAATAGCTCCAGCATCTTTGGTAGCCTGACGCTGAGAGTCACTGAAGTATGCAGGTACTGTGACAACTGCATTGGTAACACTCTTCCCAAGGTAGGCCTCTGCAATTTCCTTCATCTTCATCAAAACCATAGAGGACACCTCCTCTGGATAGAAACTTTTTGTCTCTCCCTTGTATTCTACTTGGACCTTGGGCCTGCCAGTATCATTCACCACCATAAAAGGCCAACGCTTCATATCAGATTGGACTACAGCATCATCAAATCTACGTCCAATCAGGCATTTGGCATCAAAAATTGTGTTGGCGGGGTTCATCGCAACTTGATTCTTTGGCATCACCAATTAATCGTTCCGTGTCAGTGAAGGCAACATAACTTGGGGTGGTTTGGTTTCCCTGATCATTGACAATTATTTCCACTTTCCCGTGCTGCAAGACAGCCACGCAAGAGTAGGTGGTGCCTAAATCAATGCCAACTGCAGGTCCCTTAGACATGGTTGCTTCTGTGTGGGCCTGGCTCGGCTTGAGAAGAAAACAGCTGTCTGGTGATCTAACCCAGTGTTCAATGAGAGTAACTTTGCTATAAATTTAATTACAGATTTAAATTCTAAGTACTCAGCCCTTGTAATTTAGTGTTTTAAAACAATTATTTGCTGACCTCCTTCTACATACCAGACACCAAATTATGTATTAGCAGTAAAAACAGTAAGACTATCCCTGTTCCCATGGGGCTTGTAACAGTCTTGTTGAAGAGAGAGATAAGTACTAGGCAAATGTTAAGCAAAGAAACTGACAATATATTTTTAAATATTTTTAAATGAAAGTAAGGACATGAAGGGAATATCCCTGACCTCTTCGTATTGAAGCCTACCCTACACTCCCTAGTCAGAGCTAATTTCTAAAGAATCCAGAGTTAGCCAAGAGAAAGGGGAGAATGAGTAAGAAGAACTCTCAATCAAAAGGAACAGGAAATGCCCTGGCCTCAGAAATGACATTGTAAGGTGAGTTTGAAGAACTGCTCCAGTGGAACACAAAGCAAGAGAAGTCCTGAGACAATGAGGCAAATGAAGTAAGAAGGAACCATATCCAAAGACGACTTGAATATCATACTAAGGAATTTAAATCTTAATGGTAATGGGAACCACTGCAGAATTTTAAAAAGGAGAATGACAATCAGATTTACATTTCAGATCAGATTTGCTTTACTGTGAAGAGTGAAGTGAAGCTCACACCTGGAGACAAGCAAGGCAGTTAGGACACAGTTGCAAGGATTCAGATAACAGAGGCTGGTGGTTCAGGTTAGGCTATTCAGGATGGACAGAACTGGAGGGACTTGAAAAATATGGAACAGGTACAACTGAAACATCTTAGCAATTGACTGAGTACAAGAGAAAGGGGGGTTGGAGATGGATTTCTGACTTAGGCAAATGTATAATGGTATGGAAATTACTGAGATACAAAAGAGAAAAAAGGAGGTAGATTAGTGGGGTTTCTATTTGATTTTTTGTTGTATTGATTTTGGGGGGAGACAGAAAAGCATTAGAAATTATGAGTTCTCTTGACAAACTGAGTTTTATGTGTCCAAGGGGCTTCCAAATGGAGATACGTCATAGATAACTGAATATAAAGGTCTGAGGCTAGGGAGAAAGATCTGAGCTTAGATACATACTTGGGAGATAGCGTCTTGTATCAGTTGAAGCTATCAGATAAATAGAGAAGAGAGCCAACATTAGCAGCCTAAGGAAACCCAGAAATTATGGGATGAGCTGGTTAAGGGTAAATTAAGAAAATAAGTAGGAAGAAAACCAGGAAAGCATATGATCACAAAAATCAAGGGAAGAGAATACTATGAGAGGGAACAAGCAGGGGCACCTGAGTGGCACAGCTGGTTAAGTCTCCGACTCTTCGTTTCAGCTCAAGTCATGATCTCAGGGTTGTGAGATCAAGCCCTGTGTGGGGCTCTGTGCTCAGTATGAAGTCTGCTTAAGACTCTCTCTCTCCCTCTGCCTGTCCCCCCTGCAAATAAATAAATCTTAAAAAAAAAAAAAAGAGGGTACATGCAGTCAACAGAGTCAAATGCAATAGAAAGTATAAACTGGTATAGCTATTTTAGAGAATATATCTAAAATGTTTGATCTTCAATTCCACTTCTTGATATTTAATCAATAAAAATGTTAGCATCATGTCCAATGAGACAAATTAAAGGACGGTTTGTAAAAGTAAAAAAAAAAAAAAAAGGAAACTAATGTAAGTATTCAAAAAATAGAGGATTAAATAGAATATGATAGACTGACCCTATTTAATATTTCACAAAAGTTGAAGAGAACAAAGTAAATCTATAAGCTAAAAACTAAGAAAAATTAAGTACAAAAAAAGCAAGTTTCAGAATATATACACAGTGATAGCAGTTATTTTTAAATGAATTTCTCTATGCACACATAATTGCTAAAATCCCTAGAGAAAAAGTTTGGAAATTTTTTTGTTTTGGTTAAGTTCACACAAGTCTACCAAACAAGTCCAACAGATAATTCAGTAAAGAAAGCTGGTATTTGGTTGGGTCCATGACCAAAAGGGCCTTTTGCTTCATTTTTATTATTTGAGCTTTTTACAATGAAAATGTTTCCTTGTAATAGTTATAAAATAAAACAGATTTTTTAAATGCTATCAAGATATCAAGTAAAATTAAAACTGAAAAATATTTGTCAATTTAATAGATCTTTAGTAACTTTAACAAGCATAAATTTGAAAGAATAAAGGGAACAGAAAATAGATTACAATGAACTGAGACAAAATGGGAGGAAAAGCAATAGAATATAAAACACAGAAAGCTTGGTAATGAACAGGAAGAAAAACAAGTGAAGGGAGGATTTTTCATGAGAGAGAAAGAAAAATGATATTCTCAGAAAGCCTGTTTGCTTGATCACAGTTTAAAAAAAAAATTAGAGGTCACAGCGCTAATAACCCATCATAAAACTTATTGTCTGTTACAAGGTATAAGGTTAACAATGGCAAGGCCCAGAGTAGCTGGAATAATTAACTAAGAAGCGAGATCGAGAAAATTTAGGTGAGAAAGAAGTCATAGCAGGATCTATGCAACATGCCAAAGCTAATAATCCAAAAGGTAGAAGGGTAAAGGTGGTATAAAATTTTCAAAATATCTTAGGGTTTAGTTGATGAAAGGCTGACAATGGAAGCATATAAATAGTTTAACTGCCAGATGAGTAACATTTAGAAGAACCCTCTGGTAGGTACTACCTAGAATAGCCATATGAGATGATTTCATAATCTGGTACAAGAACAAGACTACATATTAGTTGGTTGTACTACTTAGGTAATGGCATGTATTCATTGTTGTGTATCAATCAGAAACTGGAAGTAAACTAAGCTGTCAGAAGTGCGTAAAAAATGTTAATCATTATCATTCCACATGTAAGAGGTAACAAGTGATAATACATCATTAAGTTATATTTTAAAATATTCCAGAGAATTTTTGTTCTGCACTGAACAACAGGAATTACTTGGGAGTAGAGTATAAGTAGAAACTCTTTTGAAACCAGGACAGAATGTCCCAAAATGCCTCTGTTCATAAGAAAACCAAGTATCTCTTGGTGGTCACATGCTTTTGGAAAATTCTTCAAGGGGAGATAAGTGCTAACAATGAACCACAACTTCCTAGGAGGTTGACTCAACCAAAACAATGCATCCATTACCAAAAACATACATCTTGGTCCAAAGCTACTATTATGGGTAACTGTTCAGGTTCTGGTGAAAGAACAGGGTGCTGAACACTAGGTTTGAGACGGTCCTGATAGGCAAACAACTTTAAACCACAGTAAAATCATATGTATCCTTTAAAAGACAATGCACAGCAATACTACATTTCATTGAGGGGGTGGGGGAGGGGGCAGTGGGGTCTTACAGCATGAGAACTGAAAGGAAAGAGGTTAAGAATTTTCTGGATACAGCCTTTGGAGGAATAATTATCAACACCTACACAGAAACCCCTCCATTTGGGGAATCCCGTGTCATGATTTGTCATGCCTATTTAAATTACATTAGAAACCAGAATAATTTTGTATTAACAGCCCTCACCTTAAGAGTTCTACCTGCAGAACAGGCAAATTCCTCCTTTGGCTTATCCTACAGGCTGCCTTCTGAGAATCAGAAGAGAACAACCAACTTCGATCATTTGAACACGGAGCATCAACTAATACCTAGAGAAAAAAAGGCTATATAATGCAAACATGCACTGAAAATACAGTCTCAGATGCAAAATACATGGAGAAGCTATGTAAAACATGACAATAAGCAGCTAGTAAGTAAAGACATTTCTTTTAAAACCAAAATATACTATGGTAAATTCTTCATGACATTTCTTCACTAATACTTTAGAGGAAAATTTCCTGTGCACTTTCAGTGTTTGGTTTTTTTGGCAGGGAGAGGGAACAGGAGGGCTAAAAGTCTACTAATGTCTACTCATATTTCATATTCTTGAGGACTATAGCAAAAACTTTTACAAAAGTTACTTGTTTTAAACAGACATTCTATATTTCTGGATTCTCAGCATTTATTTTTGAGAACTAATATTTCAAGTTTGGTTTGCTGAAATGTTCTTTTTCTTCAACTGTCATACTCTGGTATGAAATGTTATCAAATTAAAGCAATTATATAGTGTACATACTTGTGCACTGACCCAAATAATATCTGCTCTTTTCCTGACTATCTTTGAAGCACCTGGAAATAAAAAACATTCAATAGGGGCACCTGGGTGGCTCAGCCGTTAAGCGTCTGCCTTCGGCTCAGGTCATGATCCCAGGGTCCTGGGATGGAGCCCTGCATCGGGCTCCCTGCTCCTCCCTCTCCCACTCCCCCTGCTTGTGTTCCCTCTCTTGCTGTCTCTCTCTCTCTGTCAAATAAATACACAAAATCTTAAAAAAAAAAAAATTCAATAATCCCCAATCCCAATGTTACCGTTTCCTTTGAATCATGCTGACCATCAAATGAAAACTGCTTCCTTGTTCACTTTATCAAAATTTCCCAGAGTACTGAGAAATTGTATCAGGCTATGTCTGGAAGCAGATGGAAGACAAGAAAACAAAGCAACATAACAGTGGTATCACTGGGAGCCCATCAGTTTGTCACAATGTAATAACTATACCTTGTCAAACATTTCAGGCTGGGCATCTCCCATTTCTCTGCCGTCCAATTCAGACACTTTAATTACTTTTACCAAAGGCTGTGGGATGAAAGATTCTAATGTCTGCCTCAGCCACCTCAATCTCAGACTATCATGTTCATTACAGTGAAGATAACCTAAACATAAAGGATTAAAAAGTTTTAAAATGAATGCAATGGAATTGTTAAATTTCCACTTTTGATCAAATAAATTTCAGAAAGAAATCAATTCATTGTAATTATGCAGAAATAGAGCACAGAGGTAAATATTATGATCATCTTAGGTTTTAAAAACAGCAATACACACACACACACACACAAAACATTCACAATAGTCTTGCCTACACAGCCTGTCAGAAGCTCTGACCATTTATTCATTCAAATTTAATTATGGATTCCTAAAGATATGCTATACAACCAATACCTCATGGTATTAGTAAGACATCGCTCAAATTATGAACTGTCATAATTCCCGTAACTGGGAAGTTACTTAGCTCTCAAGAGTCTGTTTCCCAAATTGAGGGTTGCTGGGGGGGGGGGTATGGGGTAACAAGGTGGTAACAAGGAGGACACATGATGTAATGAGTACTGGGTGTTATATACAACTAATGAATTACTGAACTCCACCTCTGAAACAAATAATACACTATATGTTAATAAAAAATGTTCATGACTTCATATAAAAAAGTCTGTTTCTTCATGTGTCAAATGGGGATTTTATCTAGTAAAGGATTCAGAACATGCCTCTCCAAAATATGCCACTTTGGCATGTTGATTATTTTCAGTTAAAGGCACTTGAATAGCAGATGCAGGAAGGGCATTTTTACCTTCCTTTTTTTTCCTAAAAGGAGATGAAATCCTGTATGAAAAATACTCTCCCTACACCAGAAGGGAAGAAATATTCTTATCACCAGAGATGGGGAGTCAGGGCCAAGAGAAATCTGTACAAACAGACCTTATTAAAAATTCTTCCTGGGGCTCCTGGGTGGTTCAGTCAGTTAAGCGGCTGCCATCGGCTCAGGTCGTGATCCCAGAGTCCCGGGATGGAGCCCCATGTTGCGGGGAGGGGGGTCCCTGCTCAGCAGCCTGCTTCTCCCTCTGCTCCTCAACCTGCTCACTCTTACTTTCTCAAATAAATAAATAAAATCTTTAAAAAAACATTCTTCCTGTCTTCTCCCCCACATATTTTAGTTATTTTCCACAACTGGCACTCTATGTTCAACCTAGTATACAAGCACTTAACGATTGGCCACTTCTGTGGATCTTCCACATTCACATTGGGCAAATGTAGGAGCTGTCCTGGCTTAAAAGCTTCATGTCCCACAGAAGACAACGTTTCTTCTAACAACTTCATAGGCACAGCTTTCGGGATCCCCATGAGGGATGCCCAGTTACAAGAGGACTGCCCAGGAACAAGAATCAATGCACTCAGGAAGACCCAATCAGGGCATCCCTTTTGGATCTCTGGGGCTTATTTAATCTTTCTCCCAGTGCACATGCATTTTACCTATCAGGGTCTTTTTTATCATGAGTAATGTTGCCTGGAAACGTAGTGACAATCTGTCAGGTTACCAGGGAAACAAAGCTAGAGAACTACATGAAGGTGAAATTGTAATTCAGAGGGGGAAATATTTTTGTAAACCCTTTGCTCAAATATATATGTATAAATATATATACATCTACATATCTCTCTCTATAGATATATCTATCCATATGTTTTCTCTGATTGTCAATCCATGATTAAAAACATTTAATGACGGCGCCTGGGTGGCTCAGTTGGTTAAGCGACTGCCTCCGGCTCAGGTCATGATCCTGGAGTCCCAGGATCGAGTCCCGCATCGGGCTCCCTGCTCAGTAGTGAGTCTGCTTCTCCCTCAGACCCTCCCCCGTCTCATGCTCTATCTCATTCTCTCTCTCAAATAAATAAATAAAATCTTAAAAAAAAACATTTAATGATTTCCTATCATACGGTAAAGTTCAAACTATTGATTTATTTCAAGGTCTGAGATAATGAGACCTCAAGACCACCTTTCAATTTTAACCTCCCACTGTTTTACCAACATACTCTGTGCTCCACCAAATTTGACTGACTTGTCCACTTCTCATACATACTTTGAACCACTTCTATAGTACTTAACCATATTTTACCTCAAGAGAGATGTTCGTGTGCATTGCTTACCCTTTCTACTACCACTGCACCACAATTTCTATATGGAAGGCACTTAGGAGATGGCATCGATTTTGTTAGGGGGGGAAAGGAATAAGAAATCACCTTAAAACTACATTTACACAGGTGGTACACTCCTTTTTAATTTATGTGTTTACTTCAGGGGTTTTAGAGGATTTGCTAATGCAGCTTATGGACAGTTGTCTAAAAACCTTAAATCACTAGAAAATGACCTAAGGCAAAAGTTAATGTTATGGAGGAGATGCAACCAAACAGAAACTAGAGTGAAAGAAAAAAAGGAAGTAAATCATACAAAGATGGAGCACAAATATAAAAAGGTTTGTAATCAAGGTGGCTACAGCACTGGTCATCTCTCAGGATATGTCCACAGTCTGAAATTGCTGAGCCTTGGAAGAAACTATGGGGTTTAGTGGAGTAAGGAGGAAGAACAAGTAATCTGCTGTCATCTTCTGTCTCCTGCCTCTCATTGGTTAAAGTCCATTCCAAGAGTTGATAACTTCCACACAGTTCAGGTTTGTGCTATCTGGCCCCTACAGGCGAGCCAGAGTCCCAAGGCCAGTTAACAGCAACCACTCAGGTGTGGTGATTTTTGCGTGTAAGCTGGAAGCTATCTGGAGGCTCCTCAATTTGTGGCAGTAGTAACATTAGCAGCAGGTAACTGCAGGAACAGCACGAATCTTTTCTAGGGTTTCTCCAATCTGGAAACAATTCAAGGGTCTGAAGCCTTTAAGGAGTGGGAGTAAAGATGAAGCCAAAGACATCTGTGATGGAGCATAAACTGGGGCCAAGAAAGCTCCCCAAAGTCACACCTTGTCCTCATCAGATACTAAGAGACTCAAAGGAAAGACCCATGTCTTAATTATTTTTCATTCCACTTCTCCCTTTTTCTGGTTTAAATATTTTATATTCCATTTCTATTATTTTTAACATGCATATGTAAACTTAAAATTTTTAACATGCTTATGTAAAAAAAATATAAAGTTAGTCAACCTTACCATTTTCCCTAAAAGATGTAAGAATCTTTTAATTCTCCCTCCCAAACTAGATGCTGTTACTGTATATTTGGGTTTTATTTGGGCTTACATTTTTTAACTGCACAAAACATTATCATTGTCTTCTATAGTCAATGACTTTTAGATTTATCCATATATTTCCCATCTTCTTTGTTCTTCATTTCTTCTTGTTATCTTTTATCATCCATCTACAATGGCTTTCCCTTTTCCTGAAACACATCTTTCAGAATCATTGGTGACAAACTTATATTCTCTTTGTCTAAAAAAAAAATGTCCATTTCACTTTCGTTCTTCAGGGATATCTTGGTGAATATACTTCTGGATTTTTAGTCATCTTTTCTTAGGACACTGAAAACATCATTCCTCTGAATGCTAGTTTCCACTGTTACCCTCAAAGGTCAATCCTCATTCTACTCTTTTGAAGATAAACTATCTGTCCTCTCTTTAGGAGGATCTTCTCTTTATTTTCAATGTTCTGCAACTTCACTATAATGGTCTACACTGGCTTAGCTGTGCTTACACAATTTCAGAGGGTATTTCCATTCTTCCTCCATCATCAAAATTGAAAATAGACAGTTTTCCTTTCAGTTCCTTGGGATAGGACAATTTCTTCTTAGTTTACTTTACATGGAGGGTATATTATTTTGGAATCTCAGCTTTCTGTAAGTTAACCTCCTAGATTATCTCTTGGGCAAGCTCTGGCTTTGTCTTTTATTCCCACATTCTCATGAAGAAATGAAAATCAACATGCAAGTTTTTCAGGTTAAGCAAATGCTCACAAGTAAAAAGCTGGCTTTGATGCTCAAGTGATCTTCTAGTTTCCCATTATCTCTTAGATTTTGGTCACTGAATATTTGGAGATCACCAATGCATTTAAAGATTCTGTTTTTAATATTATATCCTACATTTTTTAGTTGTTTTCAGCAGGAGGGTTGGTTAGGAGACCTAGTTTGTCATTCTACAAGGAACCAAAATCTTAGTTATTTCTACATCTTTCACAGTTCCACACCTACCATCCAAAGCCTTGCACACATAGTACGTGCTCACTAATGTGGCTGAGTTGATTTGAAACATAGCATTATAATAAAGAATATCTAAATTGTTAAAACTGAAAATCAGGTCAGCTTTTCATTAATTACAGCTTTAGTCAAGATTCTTAATTCAGCACTTTAAAATAACTTCATTAAAATATAGCTTTATGTTATAATGTTGTTTGACCTAGATGTAGATTTTATTTGAAATTGTCTTAGACTGGTTAAACTTTTTAAAATATGTAATATAAGACATCACAACCCAAGTTTCATATATATACTAAGACTTACTACATTGAAAAAGAATTAACTTCATGTTTAAATCGTCAAAAATAAACCAAATCTTTGTATTTCTTCATTTAAGCAGGAAAGGGAGTGAATTTAAAAAATGTATGAAAAAGTTATTGAGGCTTTACAACTGTGTAAGGCAGCCTTTGGTCCATGGAAAGATATTGGGCTACTAGTTTCATTCATTTATTTTGGTGCAACTAACTTGGAAAAAACTCAATTCTGCCTATTTTCAGTTCTGTTAATTACTCCTTGGAGTAATTATCTAAGGAACACAGTGTGACTATCACTGATGCCATAATTATGATTATCTGAGGAATTATATGCCCCCTCAATGTAAAAACTGGAATAATGACATTGTCCATACATTAGAAGTGATATGAAGGCTAATGATAAGGTTCTCTGAGATATCCGGAAGCAATCTTAAAACTTCACAACAAATTTGTTAAAACATGGTCGACAACAGACTAAAATACATCTGAGAATACAACCACTTCAAGATTCTGGTTTACTAAGTACCTGTTATGAACTGGAAACGGTGCTAGCAGCTGCAGACACAAAGATAAGTGAGAACCTCTCCAATTCTCAAGAAGCTGTCTAATGGAGGATGCTGGACAAGTCAGTAGTTGAGTGACATCAGGAGACCTCAAAACAGTCAAGTGCACATTTCTGAAAACTTGAGTTCAGACTGCAGCTCTGCCACTTACCTAGGGCAATTTAGGTTAACTTCTCTTTGTTTTGGTTTCATCTTTAAAGTGGGGATAATAATGCCCAACCAATGGTGCTGCAGGGTTAAAGATCATATACATCAGTGATAGTCACACTGTGTTTCTTAGAGCCCTAGGACTTCAGAAACACATATATAAATAGAAATAAAACGTAAGTGTTGAAAGCAAAGACTACTAAAAAATGTTTGAAAACACAGATTTATGCAATGTGATTAGTACTGTCCTCGGCAAATACTAGGTTATTCCGAAATGTTTTTATTACCACCAAAATAAAAAGTGCATCGAATGCAGGGAGTTCTGGAAGGCTTTCTAGGAAAGTTGATTCCTGAGTGAAAACCTGAAGAATGAACAAAAAAGTTAGCAGGGGAGGAGGGGGAGGAAAGTGATACCCATAGGGTGTGCAAAAGGCCTGGAGGCCTAAGGGGGCAGGAAGCAGGATAAAAGCAATTCAGTAAAGCAAGGAGTCTTTCAAATCTTTTCTACCAAAGGCTAACTAGATGTCAAAAAGGTATCACTGACAGCAAAGAAAATTTCATTGAAGGACAGAGCCCTCAGAGCAAGGAAGTTGAATAAGCCACTCCATCAAGCTGCATCATTCTTAGTATGTTAATGCCTTCCTATTTAGAATCAGAATTGTTTTCTTTTTCTGTCAAGACCAGGACATAACAAAGGCTGTGTTGACAAAAAAACAACAACAAAAAAACCCCACAAAAAATGGATAATCCATCACTGTGCTAACAGGTGGGAGCAGCTGGACCAAAAGAGAAATAAACTAATTTCTTTAATCATCCTAAAATATGAGCTTTCTAGTCATTCAAAGCTATGAGCCTCTTGGCCCAGAATAAAGGCCAGTACCGATCTAAAGAAATTTGTTGTATAAATGCACATTTAGTTGCAGCCATCATTTTAGGTTTTGCTTTTAAAAGCTTATTTTAGCATTGCTTCCGCATTCCAAATTCAAGCACTGTAACTAACCTAATTTGGGCTTTGAGCATCAGCATGAAGACATCTGTACTTCTTACTAAACCATTATCATTAGTCCTACTTAGATGAAAAGCTTCTTTACTTGGAACACTGCCTGTAGTTCATTGCCCTTGATGTAAGAACAGGAAGATTCTTCTCCACTTCAAACTCCTAGAATATTATCAGTTTGCATTTGTATTCCTAATCAAATCACCTTCCCTATCATAAGCATGTGAAATATTTATAGCCTAATTAGGATTAAAATGCTCTCTCTTCAACACGGTACCCAAATTTAATATTTCTCTTCCATTTTTTTTTACAATACTAAAAATTCTATATTCAAAATTGATGTAACAAAATAAAAATACTGTCAAAGAACACAAAAAGAATGAAAGTAAAAATACTCCTTATAATACGATTCCATAAACCTTCAGCTCAAATTACAAAAATAATAACCTTACTAAACTATCTTTTGTTCTGATTTCTTACATTAAAAAATACAGCAAGCTTCAGTAAGTTTTAATAACAATGCTAAAACACAGAGTATGTTTTCTCCTAAATACACAGCTAACTGATATATTTGTACCAATGCCTAGTAGAACTGGATTCACAGTTCTCATCAAAGTTTTTGAAATATATTTCAACAGGGAGTGCTCTCAAAGGAAGATAGAAATTAGCAGTCTTCAAACTGGGATATGCATGCCCTAGGGATACATAACAACTTTCTAAGGGATAATAAGCAAAGTTGGATAGTTTTAAAAGAATCAATTTTCAAATCATCAACTTCCTAAAGAACATCTCTGGTCAGGGAATCTTCTTTCACAATGACCTTTCACCAACCTTATATCTGAGGAGCATGCTTCCCACTCATCCAGAATCTTATTACAGCAAATTGTGCCAGGGTGTAGAAATTTACATGGCACCAAACAAAGGCAATTAAACACATGGGTACCTTGGCTAAGAAAGTGAATGAATTAAACAACTAGGCAAAGTAGCCTTTTGTAATTGAGATGGTTTGTAACCCTTTCCCTTCAACAAAATCAAAAGCGGACCTAGAGTGCTCACCTAACAGATCATTAAAATAATGCTTGATGAAAAATATCTCTGTGCTTTGGGGTCATAACTCAAGATTTAAAGAGCTTAGTGAAACTACTATAACACAATTCGTACCATTTCCATCATCTTATCTAAAATAAACAACAGCATCTGCATTTATAAAAACCATCAAATAAACAGAAACTAGACAGAACTGATGCTGAACCCTGTCTTACCAAGCTATAAGTAATATTTCCCCAGGGAAATCTGAAATAATTTTTTAAAAAGTCTTATTATCTAATTAGGAAAATAATTTATGATGAATGTTGGTTGACTCATTACTTTTAACAAATATTTATAAAAATGTACATTTACATACATGTCATCATTTTTATACTAATAATGGTAATGATAAGTTACTTCCAAAAAACTTTTTCAAAAAGTCTTTTAGAATTGCATTATCTAGGGGAGCCTGGGTGGCTCAGTTGGTTAAGCATCTGCCTTTGGCTCAGGTCATGATCCCAGAATCCTGGAATCAAGCCCCACATTGGGCTCCCTGCTCAGTGCAGAGCCTGTTTCTCCCTTTGCCTGCTGCTGCCCCTGCTTGTGCTCTCTCTCTCTCTCTGTCAACTACATAAAATTAAAAAAAGAAAAAAAAAAAAGAATTGCGTTGTCTAATATCATACCCATTTGCCACGTGTGGCTATGAGCACTTAAAAGGTAGCTAGTCCAAACTGAAATGTGCTGTACAATACATGCCCATTTTGAAGATTTTGTAAGAAAATAAGAATGCAAAATATCTCTTTAATAACTTTTATTTTGATTACATGTTGAAATAATATTTTGGATGTACTGGGTTACAATGTATTACTAAAATTAATCTCAACTGCTTCTGCTTTTTTTAATGAGTACTTAAAAATTTAAAATTTTATATGCACTTCACATTATATATGTATTGGACAGAACTGTCTTATAACCTTATGGTCTAATGATACAAAAAATGACCTTAAATGTTATATTTTGTTACCCAGAAGTATAATGAGATATCAATACAAGACTCTCAAGTAAAAAAGTCAATGATAAAATAAATAATCTTTATTATTGGCTTATCAGGATTCGTAATACCTGACAGATTTAGGTTTACAAAATGTGGTAGTTTTGTTCAAAATTATCTGCTAGTATGTAGCTGAAAAAAAAAATTAACACTGATTTCTTAGCTAAAATTTCCATTCGACATACTGTCCTGTTTTTTTCAGATTTTCAAAGTCTGCAAACTCAATCTTACACTTTTTCTCATATACTTTAAAAGTATTTTGTAATATATGGATATTTAAAAGCTGTCAATTACTGAAAGAAAAGCACACTACCTGGATAAGCACACTGCAGCAGAGCTATCGATTTGCCTCCAGGAGCAGAACACAGATCCAGAACCTTCTCCCCATCCCTTAATTCCAGAGCCAATACTGGCAGAAGAGAGGCAGCATTCAGGAGATAGTATTTTTTTAAAATTCCAATTTGGTGTCTTTCTGAAGGCATTCTATCTGGAGTTCTGCTAAGGTAACACTTCATTGATTTAGGATAGTAGGGTAAAGATCCTTGAAAGAGTGTGTGATAGCCCTTTAAATGTAAATCTTTTTCCAGTTCAAAGGAATAATTGAATCTGTTAAGAAGGATAGCATATTGCCAGCATGATGGAGATATTAGTATATCCCTAGAAATAGAAAAACAAAAGAATATTAATATTATATATACAAACACAATTTTATATTACCAATCAAATGAATGTGGTCCTAGTTTCACACTTACCTGTGATTTTTTTAAGTCAGGATTAGTTATCACTGACTTTGCCCTTTTGCCATAGGCTCCAATATGGCTCAACCTACCACTGTTACGATCCTGCCTTTATTTAAAACTTTAGTATTTTATTCATCATGGGTTTTCTTTCTTTTGTATGAACTGTGCCCATTAAAGTATTATTTGATTATTGAGTTTTAGGGGCCCCTTAAATTCTGCACCAGAGGGGAATGCCTCACCTGCGCCTAGTAGTCCGGACCTTCCTGCAGAACATCTTGCCAAAAACACATGGCCTGTCTTTACTTACCTCTGAATACATCAAAAGAGATGTCAGTCTATCACTTTGCACAAATGTTTTTCAAAAGACAAAATTTAAAACCTGAGACTATTAATATTGGAGGGAAAAGTACTATCATTAAAGGGTATTTAAAGAGTGCGTGTTAAAGTCTTCCTCTCATGAAATAAAAGTATGGAAAACTATAGTGAACTATACAGTAACAGAGTTAATGAGGCGATCAGTGGTTCAGATGATACAAAACCAAGGATGGTTTAAAAATCACTTATGGATTGACAGCACCGCACCCCCCCCCCCTCCCGCCTTCACCAGAAGATTCTCTTTCCTAATTTTTTATTCGGTCCAACAGATCTCTTAACAGTCAGAAGCTCATATCAACTGACAGATGATATAGCAGGAAATATTTATTTACAAGCTCACCTTTCTAGCTGAGTTATTTGGGAGCCTCATTAACCATGGTCAATTAAACAAATCCCAGCTGCTAGTCACCCTGGAGTTGCCTAGGTGAGAAATGGCTGGATTGAAATGTAACACCTGCGACTGGAATTGTGCCAGGTGAATTTCAATTGGGGGCTAATATGTGAAACTGCTTTCTCCTTCACTGCCTCTTACTATGATGGTCCACCAACAGAGGAGCCCAGTGTGTCTGTTTTAGGAATTTTGGAGGATGACAACTTTTTTTTTTTAGATTTATTTATTTATTTGAAAGAGAGAGAGAGAGCACATGAGAGGGGGGAGGGTCCGAGGGAGAAGCAGACTCCCCGCCGAGCAGGGAGCCTGATGCGGGACTCGATCCGGGACTCCAGGATCATGACCCGAGCCGAAGGCAGTCGCTTAACCAACTGAGCCACCCAGGCGCCCGACAACTTTTTTTAAGAATGTACTTTGCAAACTTTAGCAGGCATCAAGTGTCTGTAAAAGACTACTAAGCCCTACCCCAGGATTTTCTGATACAGTAGGTCAGAAGCACGGCCTGAGAATTAGCATTTCTAGCAAGTTCTCCAGTGATGATAATGCTGCTAATCCTCAGGACCACACTTCGGGAACCACCGCATTAAAACAGACCCAAAGGGGAGATCTGCAAATGTCACTGCTCTAACTTTTATTTCAGTCTATCCTAACCTTACCCTTCCAAACTGGATGAAAATCTACCCAGGGTGTTGACTCATTTAACAGAGAAATAAGAAACATAATTTAATTAATACAGATTGGAGCGCCTTGTTCCTTTAGCTAACAAAGGTAGGACACTTTCAATTGGTTAACATCTGACAGAGCAAATCTCTTTTCTTTTCCTTCAGAATTTCCAAAGCTATTTTAGAATGTTTATTCTTTCAGATGAACTTTAGAATCAGTTGGGTCAGTTAAAAAATAATTTATAAAATATTTGTGTAGATAGAAACCTTGACTAGAATTATATTAAATGCAGTAAATTTGGGGAGAATTAACATCCTTATTGTATTTAGTCTTTCCAACCCTGACTACAATGTTTCTCCATTTAGTCACATTTTCTTTCAGATTCCTTAGTAAAGGTTATTTATCTTGCATATTTCCTTTTAACCTTATTGTATGTTATGTTAGTTTAGGAACACTATTTTTGTGTATTATACAATATGTTAAATTTTGAAGGATAAGGAGGAATACCATAGGACAAAATGAGAAGGGAAATCCAAGGACAAAGGCAATAGCCCAGGCACAGGCGTATGAAGGACGGTGCACTGGGTAATTAAAAGTAGTCTGGTGTGGCTCATGGCGGATGATATGGGTCAAATATAATATGATAAAGTTCACTGAAGGACTCTAGGGGAGAGAACCTCATTGCATTTAAAAACATATACTTATTGGGGCCCCTGGGTGGTTCAGTTGGTTAAGCATCTGACTCTTGGTTTCAGTTCAGGTCATGATCTCAGGGTCTTAAGATCAAGTCCCACATGGGGAGCTCAGCAAGGAGTCTGCTAAAGCTTCTCTCTCCCTCTCCAACTGCCCCTCCCTGCACTCACTCTCTCTCAAATAAATACATCTTGGAAAAAAAAAACAACAACATATACTTATGGCAGAGTGAGTCAGCAATCTTCAGAAATTATTCTCATTCTTTAACAACTAGATAAAATAAGAACTTGCTTAAACAAATTTTCTGACTCCTTCTAACCTATATGCAGCCTTACTGAAGTCCCTGAACTTCCTGGAATAAGTTTTCTTTAGCCTTTACCAGTCTCAGGATAAACTGTTCCCTCTGCCCAAAATGACCTTTCTTGTGACCTACAATGGCCCATCTATAGCCTGGATGACTCCCCTACTCTCTGCTGAGAGGCCGATTTAGGCTTTATCTCCTCAGGGAAACCTTTCTACCTACAAGCAAATCCACCTGCTCCACCTCACCCTGATATTAATAATAAAAATTATGGATTTGTTTACAATATGCATTTTGCCTGCTTAGCTCATTTAACAATCACAACTGTGAAGGACAGCTATTACCCCCATTTTAGAAGTTAGGTAACTGAAGCTTTCAGAAATCTGGCAACTCACCCAAGGTTCTATCACTATTAAGCAGAAATACCTGATTCAAAACCTGGCTGACTTTAAAGTCTAATGAAGTGTGAGACCTTGGTACTGTAGCACTAGTGGCATACCACAGGGGAGAGGCAGAGAATTTTCACTCCAACCCTCGCCTAGTGTCAGTGCCCTGGCCTCCGAATGCTCCTAACAGTGGGAATAGCCTGATATGCGCTGCCCTGAGCACCTGCAATAGGACCACTTGATGAAGGGACTGCTCAAAGCTGGTGCTTCCTACCGCTGAGAGAGCAAAACTGCATATTAATGTGGGTCTCAGCACCCCACCCACCCCACCACCAGTGATTTCCCCTCTCCTTAGCACATGTGCACGCCCGCGCGTGCACACACACACACACACACACACTCTAACACTCCAGTGCACTGGCCGGATGATGCCCCTGGGGCTGGCAGGCCAATGGCTGCTCAAGTCCAAAGCTCTGAATGGATGGACAAGTAGCCCAGCAGACAATACTGGCAGTGTACATTAGAGGACCTTAAGAAGACACTCACCAGGCACCACACTCCAGGACTCCTCTGAAGATTCATGAGGGGTCTGAAGCTGTTCCACTTACTGGTCTTCAATGACAGAAGTTCAAGTAAATCAGCAGCTAGCAGAATTGGGACCCACAAGATCAGTGACCTGAAGATGTTTGCTAGTACCTCCACTGACCATTTTGAAAAAAACTATGTACCCTCTGACACGTTTTAAGTTGACATCAAAATCTTCACCACAGATTAAGAACGTAATTTCCAGCATACTATAAAAATTGACATTTTAAAATATAAATTACACCATTTTTTAAAACGTATCCAGTGGAACCTAAATACCAGAGTGATTTTGAAACCCATCATTGTCCATTTAAAAATTCATGGACTGACTCTTCTTGAACAGGTGAAAATTTTACAGTTCCTTTTTCTGTTTACATTCTATTTCCCCATATAACTTTATCTTAATAGATTTTTGTGCTTGAAATCTTTTATTACCCTATCGTACTTCTCTGCCATAAACACACACACACATATATATACTAAATTTGTTTTCACTATGGCCTAAATCTCTAAGTGTTAAAATGGTAACTTCTGGATTCAGTTATCAGTAAAATTATTAGTATAAAGTTGATCAAAATATTTACCATAGATTTCATAATTATTAAACATAAAAAGGAAAAGTGTCAGGAAATGGATCTCAATGAAATGAGCTTCCCCCTGACCCTGGTCCCCATATATCCAGAGATGAATATTACCTAGGGCTATACTGAGTCAGGGTCCAAATCAACTATACTCCTGTTTTGTATTCTTACAAGGGCTGAGAAAAACCTTCACTTAAATAAGTGGGTAAGAATTAAATATATTTTGTTACAGCAATGTCTCTCTTTTTGACTTCTATTTCTGAATTATATTCCCAAATCACTTAATGATCTATCTTCAAAAATATTTTAAATGACCTGTTAGTTGACAACTCAACTGGAGCTCCTTTACTTTTTTGTTAAAAGCAAAACTTGGAAACCACCTGACCTGTCAAAGAATTTGTTAGTCATTAGTCATTTACTTTCTCAACCCTTGAAATGACACTCCAATAGTCTCTGACAGGTAGAGGTGTTATGACCCTGGAGAAATGCAGTGTGGAAGAATCAGGATGTTGAAAATGTGTCCTTTTTTTTGTAAAGTGGGAGAAAGATAACAAAGTCAGGTTGGGAAAGGAGAATAAGTACTCCCTTAGGCACATAAGGATCAGAGTAATTTTGTGAAAGAGAATACATGAAAACTGAAAATCTGGAAGTTGATTGCTGTCACTTGCCTGTGCACACATATCCCTTGAAAAAATTGTATAATGTTTTATTTGGACAATGTTATTTGATGTTATTATTTTCATTCAATCACAGGCCTGGATTGGCCATTAAAATTGGTACTTTTTAACTTCTGACTTTTAAAGGGGCTAAAAGTTACTACTTCACAGGGATTTGCACAAATTAAGGTTGAATATTTGTGTAAAGTTAACATAAGGGACAAAATAGAAATAGAGATACTAGTTCATTTCTCCTTTCTCCAACCACCCCACTCCATCCCGTTCACAGATTCTGCTAATGCAATCTGCTATATTTTTTCCCCTCTATATGTCAACTATGTGAACTCTGGAGAAGAGTGTCTAAATAAAAAAATATTTACAAACAGGCCAGACTTAACTGAGGCTCTTTTGTTTGCTTTGCTTTCTACAAAGTGCACACAAAATTTCCAAAGTTCATATAAAGATTTCCAATTAATCCTCCCCTCATATATATTGAGGGCAGAATATATATAATCCATCTCTGTATTCCCAGTGGTTAGAACAGTGCCTGGTTTATAAACACTAACTTGTGAGTAAGTAGATGACTTGCTCAAGTCTTAAGGTATTGGTTCTTCAAGACCCTCCCTTGTCAGAAAAAATAACTTAATAAATTATGACAACACAATCGTGAAAGAATTACAAGAGCCGTTATCAACAAAACGCAATGGAAACACAAAGGCAGAACTAATTTTGTCAAGGGTATATGGGACAGCTTGATGGAGAATTGTTTAAAAACAGTAATAGTAGGGAAAAATGAAGGGGGGGGAATTGGAGGGGGAGACGAACCATGAGAGACTATGGACTGAGAAACACTAATAAAAAAGGGGATACAAATGAAATCCAAATTAAGAAATTTCTCAGGAAGAAGGAAAAGCATTTGGTGGGCATTTAGATTTTGATGGAGGCAGAGTAGTGGTGTATGGCAGTCCATAGTTTTGGAGCCCCCAAACTGTCAAGGTCAGTCAAGGTAAGAGGTACATGGTGCAGAGCACAGGAAAATTCAAAGCATGAAGCTTCCAGGTGTCCTCTCCAGTGGAATCATGGGCAAGGACAACTTTTCCCTGCAACAATGTGTGACCATATGCATAGGAATACTGGCAAGTAGGAAGGCTCAACAAAAGCTTGGCATCTAGATTTTATTGGGGCCCAATCACACAAACATGATCAACTGGCTAATCTTTATTCTCCAGGTCCTTTAGAGCTCAGCGGTGGGAAGCCAAGCTGATACCATGGCCCACAGCCCCGACTACAAATCACGCTGTTAAGACTTTCCAGTGTGTCCCAATGCCCCAGGTAAACAAAGTCACTCTAGGCAGGACATTCCAAGGGCTTAGAGATAACCTCCCAGGAGCTGAGGGTAAATGTCAGACTTATTTTTAATTAAGTTTCATTCTTTACCTTTGAAGGTGTGGAGGAGAAAAGAGGAAACATACTGATGGTGATATCTTCAACAAGTGAGAAAAAACATGCAAGTGGCAAATGACAACATAGGTTTAGAAGGGAAAAATAGTATGTTTCTGAGATTGCCTAGTATCAAACTAAGTGAAGTTACCAGAAAATAGTGAGAAGAATGTAACAAAGCTTAGAGGGGACTGCACAGCTTGAGATGGCAGCATATTGAGGGAAGTTCAGTCATGCCATGAACGGGCTTACCTGAAAGATAATGTAGGTAATGAGCAGAGCAAAACTTGAACCCACTGTGAACAACTTTAAAGGCCTGCTCAGAAGGTAATTTTTAAAAAAGGTTATTACAAAACAATAAATTTAAATAATTACTAAATCTTCCCCACTATCTAAATGTCTTAGATAAGACAGGAAACTAAAAATAAGTAAATCCCTTTCTAGGTAGAAAACAATGCACTCACCTTTCCCTGGAAGTAAATAGACTCTGAAAGCATGACATTATGTCTTCCAAAAAAAAGTTAAATATATATATATATATATGTTCTTACTTCCCCATGCCATCTTCCATGTTCAGACTACTTTCTAATCTCAGCCTTTATTTTGCCCATGGCAAATTTAGCACATTTATGCAAAACTTAAATTACCATGAAAACCCAACAAAAAGGTAGATGAAGCAGAAGGCACAGCTAATTAAATGGATTCGAGGTTCAATGCTCATTTTGTTTGGGGTCAAACAATAATTTACAAATCTGTCTGAGCACATTAAATAGAAAAATAACTCATTACAGGGTATGGGTAGCCAGACTACTATAAAATCTGAAGACAATATACCTTTTAAAACCTTTTTTTTTTTTTTAAAGTTATCCATGAATGTCTAATTACACCACAGGTGTGAGATTAGGGGTTAGCAGTGGAAATTCCTGAACTAGAAAGCCTAGACACAAATCCCTGCTCCTGCACTTACTAGCTAAGTAAACTTGGGAAATTACTTAAACTCTATAGTTTCATCACGTGAAAAATGGGAAACAGACCTCAGAGCTTTGTTCTGAGGATCACATAAAGCCAATACCATCTGGCACATAATAAGCATGCAGTAGGTATGTGGTTGTTTGGCTATTCTATGTGAGTAACTTTACATACAAAAACATAATGAATTTATTACACTTCACTATCATCCTTCTTTCTTCTCTGTGACAGAAGACATCCATTTTAAAATCTAGTTTTGAAATAGAAACCACAACCATAAACTACTTTTTCATATTACAGTATTTACAAGTTTCTAAAACAGTGTTACTTGTCCTAAAATTATCTCAGAATCACCTCAGACTTTATTATCAGCCAATACTTCTTGTTTTAAAAAAAATGCTTAAAGCTGTCCTTTGTAAATGAGAAAGTGTTATTGAGTTGGTCTAAGAAGAGATTTAATAAGACAACAATGTGACTAAATTCCATTGTCTACAGCTACATAATCTTTTTTTACTGAGCAAACTGTACTGGGCTTTTGCACCCTAGCTTCAGAAGCACCCTCTTCTTTCAGCCTAAGTTATCTTTTTTTTTGCTAAGGTAACTCCTGTTAAGTCACCAAGGCCTGGCTTCTCCTCAGGTCTTTGCTGGCACCCTCAGGCTTTGTTAACTAAGAAGGTTCTCCTGCCTATTCCTATCAGGATATTTATGGAATTAATGGTTTATATAGTTTTAACTAGCCGCCTATCCCCCAGGAACACCAGACTGCAGGCAAACTGGATATGGGGACTGTCTTGCTCTCTGTATTCTATGGGGAACGGAACTATGTAAGAACTCAATGTAGGCAAGGGAAACAAAAGAAAAAATGAACTATGAGGACTTCATCAAGACAAAAAACTTTTGCACAACCAAGGAAACAATCAACGAAACTAAAAGGCAGCCTATAGAATGGGAGAAGATATTTGCAAATGATGTATCTGATAAAGGGTTAGTATCCAAAATATATAAAGAACTTATAAAACTCCACACCCAAAAAAGCAATTAGTTCGGTTAAGAAACGGGCAGAAGACATGAATAGACATTTTTCCAAAGAAGACATACAGATGGCCAACAGGCACATGAAAAGATGCTCAACATCACTCATCATCAGGGAAATATAAATCAAAACCACAATGAGATACCATCTTACACCAGTTAGAATGGCTAAAATTAACAAGTCAGGAAACAACAGTTGTTGGTGAGGATGCAGAGAAAGAGGAATCCTTTTGCACTGTTGGTGGGAATGCAAACTGGTGCAGCCATACTCTGGAAACCAGTGTGTAGGTTCCTCTAAAAGTTAAAAATAGAACTACCCTATGATCCAGCAATTGCACTACTAGGAATTTACCCAAAGGATACAAACATACTGATTCAAACGGACACATACACCCCAATGTTTATAGCAGCAGTATCAACAACTGCCAAATAATGGAAAGAGGCCAAATGTCCATCGACTGATGAATGGCTAAGGATGTGTATATAGGGCGCCTGGGTGGCTCAGATGGTTAAGCGTCTGCCTTCGGCTCAGGTCATGATCCCAAAGTCCTGGGATCGAGTCCTGCATCAGGCTCCCTGCTCCTTGGGAGCCTGCTTCTCCCTCTGCTTCTCTCTCTTTCTCCCTCTCTCTCTCTCCGTCTCTCATGAATAAATAAGTAAAATCTTAAAAAAAAAAAAAAGATATGTATATACATACACACACACACACACACACACACACACACACACAGGAATATTACTCAGCCATCAAAAAGAATGAAATCTTGCCATTTGCAATGACGTGGACAGAGCTAGAATGTATTATGCTAAGCAAAATAGTTCAGCCAGAGAAAGACAAATACCATATGATTTCACTTGTACGTGGAATTCAGGAAACAAAACAGATGAACACAGAGAAAGGGGGGAAAAAAAAGAGAGAGGGAAGCAAACCATAAGAGACTCTTAACTATAGAGAACAAACTGAAGGTCGCTGGAGGGGAGGCTGGTGGGGGATGGGCTAGATGGTGATGGGTATCTGTGCTGAGCACTGGGTGTTATACATAGGTGATGAATCACTAAATTATACTCCTGAAACCAATATTACACTATGTGTTAACTAACTAGAATTTAAACAAAAATTGAAAAAGAAAAAAGGAACTCAATGTAAAGAACCCATGGAATAACATTCTGACCAAAGGCAAAAATCACTAAACATACAAATCAAACTTATCCCACTTACTTCTATGCATGAAACATTTATTTTCAATAATACATTCAGAGAATTTGTGTGTGTGTACACGTGTTCAAAACACAGCCTGCCAAAAACACAGGGAAGAAATATGATAACCAAATAAAGTGACTCTAGCTAAGACAGACCTGTGCCAGCTTTAAAGATTTATTACCTTCTGAATTTCAGAAACTAGTCAAATACCCTCAAAAATTTTAAATTTTTCTGTTACAGTATAAATTTTGTCAAACTGGTGGGCATTCCGTTTCAAAGATCAAAACAATGGCTCTTAAGGCAAGGTCATAACAATTTTTTCCTATTACTACAAAGTTTTCTTTCTCCCCTTTTCATTTTCCTATGATTTTCCATCTATTTCTTCACAGTTCTTCTCTTCTGTAGCCTCTGTAGGAAAAGGGCAGCCAGATTTAGATTCCTTTATCTTTTATACTCACAGCACCCCTCCCCCCAAAAGGGTTTATTTCGTGTTCTAACATAAAGCATCAAGAGATGAATTATACTAACCTTACTGTATTCCAGGCATCTCCAAGTTCTTTGGAATACTGTTTTTCAAAATGATCCAATACAACTTTGCAAATCTGTTTTGCAAGCTTCCTCTCTGATTTTGCTTTCAGCTATGATGACAAGAAAACGCTGTTGACACAATCTGATATTACAAATTTATTAACCCTCAAATTAGCAGGGTTTTTTTCTTAAGAACATGTTTTACGATTATTACTAGTTCTTGCAAGGGAGCATTACCTCAAACGTAACAAAATTGTATTTATGAAAAAAGAGGGTTTCTTCAAATAATTATTGCTCAAATAGAGCAAAGGTTAAAGGATTTGTGGCGTTGAAAATTAGTGGACTTAACAGAAGCTGCGTCAAAGGAACAAAATTAAATAAGTCACTCTAGTTGTTAACATTTGGGGAAACTGAGTGAAAAGCCTATGGAAGTGAGTATTATCTTTGCAACTTTTTTGTAAATGTAAAATTATTCTAAAAAGGTTATTTCAAAAAAAAAAAAAGTCACTCGTTTCCTGTGGAAACTTCCTTGCAATTCTATTTCATTTACTCATCCAAAGTTTAGCGAGGTATTACTATGTAACATTGTTCTAAGCTCCCACAATGGAGCAGCTAACAGTCTCAGGCCCTGTGGAGCTTGCATTCTGCCCAAAGCTTAAGGGAAGAGGTATTCAGGTCTGCCGTTTGGATAACAGACTAATTACGGGGGCGCAGGTGAGTCTTGGGAGAAACCGACAGAGAACGCTCACGAGAAGGCGTTCGCGCGTTCAGCATTACTCTGGGACTTTGGACTGCGAAACCAAAGAAACCAACAGCTCGCAAAGTTCCCCCATCCCGACCCCCTCCCTCGCCACCTCGGCCCGTTAAAGTGACTCAGTCAGAGGCTCCCAATCGAGTGCCAGCCCTCACCCGGGTCAACATGATCCCGCCGCGAGATGCCAAACAAGAGGTCTACACAACCGAGCATCTAAAACCTCCTGGAAATCAAAAGCACAGCCTCACATCCGAGATTTACCCGCATTCACTTCTACCCCTCGCTTTTCCGGTTCAACTTCCCGCGAGATACTGCTTTGTCCGTGTCGTCGAAATCTCGCCAAAAAGGGGTGTAGGTCCCGCGAGAGGCACGCGCGCACAAAGTTACTTCCGCCGGCGCCTGGTGGAGGCGGTGCTTACTTCTGAGGGCGTAGCGAGACCCGTGGGTGGAGCTTGAGTGGCTGGAGCTTCTAGTGAAGCCTTGCCCTGAACAGTGGCTTGCTGAGTGCTGATGGTTCAGTAAAAAGAATTGTAACTTTGCCACTATTAGGTTTTGTATAATGATCATTGTTGTAAAATGGTCTCAGAGGCTGCTAGTTACTGAATCTACCAAATTTGATAAGCTCCCTTTAGCTCAGATATTTAGAACAAAGGGTAAAAGGGATGGATATGATGAAGAAATTAAGCATGTTATTTCCTAGAGATGAATGGGGATAATCTCTCTTTTAACTGAGTTAAATGATTAATTGAAATACACAGTATAGCACTTAGCACCAAAGGTAGGAAACAGTAAATGCCCAAATGTTAGCTGCTGCTCTGTCTTATTTTCACTACAATGATCTTCAAAATTATCATCACGTTCTGGTACCAAATACCTGTAGACCAGAATGACCCTACGCTCTAGCCTCCCACCCTTTACTATGGGTAGTGTCACATGTTCTGAGGAAAGTATCACACCCATTCTGATAGGAACAGCAGTTTATTTGCTCTTTTAACGTTACTTTTTAGTTGCTCTCGTTTTTTTAAAAATTTTTGTTATGTTAATCACCATATATTACATCATTAGTTTTTGATGTTTAGTTGCTCTCTTGTAACAGCAATCAGCAATTCATCAGGAAATCAGTGCTTCATATGGTCCCCGATATTTAAAGAGCGTCATCATTTTGAGACCTTTGATGTTCAAAATATCGATATAGGCATATACCATAGGTACAAATCTTAGAACCATGTAAAAAGAAAAATATCGCCACTAATGTGATTTGAAGCTTAATATATTTACTTAAACAAGTTCCCCAATACTCTAAAAATGATTTTAGCTTTGGTGCAAAAGAAAATAAAGTATTAAGGAGTGAAGTAATTAAATGCATGCAGTTTGTTAGTTGCTTAAAGTCATTAGTCTATCAGCCTCTATACATAAGAGATTTTATAAATTTTTTTCTGTGCTCATTATAAATGTTGTATTTAATTAATATGGTAGTATAATTCAAAATAGACATTTAAAAGACTTTTAAGGAGATAGTAGAAATCATATACACTATATTTCTATTAGGGAAAGGGGATGTGTAATGCTTGGAAAGAGGTCATATTGGTTCTATTATATTGTTTTTGCCTTTTTTAGCATGTTTCTATTTTATGATTTTAAATAAGCTAATGCTTACTGAAGAAAATGTAAAAACAAAAGCCTATGAGAATGAAAATTGAACATAATGCCACTAGAAATCGTCAATATTGACATTTTGATGGATTCCTCTAGTTTTACACATTTTCAAGTTTGATCAAATATTACATATAATGTATTCTATTATTATAAACATTTTCTTATATTAAAAATTCTTCATATACATCATTTCTAAAATTTGCATAGTATTCCAAGGTATGGAGGTCACTATACTAACTTACCTTCTTACTGTTGATAAACATGCTTGTTCATCGTTCTTTGCATGTCTGATAACCTTATAATTTTTTTATGTTCTTAGTTTGAATAGGTTTCAAATCGTACTAATTATTTTCTTTTGTAAATTTTACCACCTCATGTCCACTTATCTATGTCTTAGTGCTATTTTTATTTACATTTATATTAGAGATGTTAACCATATCACATTTTCAAGTACTTTCCCATTTTTTCTTATAACCCTTTAAATGTAAAAATATTTAAAAATTTTATGCAATCAGTTCTTTGATTTTGTAATTGATTCCATTGCTTTTGGTTTGGAAATTTCTTCCCACAGATGCAAGCAATTATTTGTTTCTTTCTCCCTTTTTTTTCCTTACAGTTTGATCATTAATATTTAACCCATTAACCTGTCTAGAATCAGTATTAATGTATCATGAGAAAGTGGATTTCCCCTACCTTATACCAAATACCTACTGAAGAATAAACAAAGTTCCACGCTTTATTTTAAAAATAGAAACTGTTACCAGACTTGTTTTAAACCACTGCAGATATAAGAAATTGAGCTGACACAAATACCAGAAATTATATTTTTTTATTATTACTACTGTATTAAAGAATAAAGCAGCTTAATATGTACAAAGGAAAAGAATTTTTACATACCTAAGCAATTTTATTCTGAAGCCATTTGATATAAGAAGTGTTTCAGGATGAGTATACTTTATAGACTTCTGTGCATTTTATGAATTTTCATATTTACATAAAACATTTCTCAAAACCCTTCATAGTCATGTGGAGGTTTATGTGTCAAAAAGATAAAGACGGGCTTTGTAGTAAAACAATCCAACATCAAGAGACTATTAGCTCCTTAAAATGAATGGCAGAAAAACACAACAGAGAAATCCACCATCAAAGCAAGAGAACAAAGCTTAGTTACAGGCAATCTTGAACTATCATTTCAGGATAGCTAATTAGCTGAGGTTCTCATTTTATTATTTTAGGCCTCCAAAGTGGTGTGTACAAACTCTATCAGACAATCCACTGGGACTGGGAAGTAAATATAACTTGTATTTTTATTTAATTTTATCAAATCTTTTAAAAAAATTTGGAGGGAGGTATATGTACAAAGTGCAATAGAAAATGTATGTAACTTATGGGCTGAAACTTATCCCCTCAAACTTCACATGCCCTAATACCTGAGAATGTGACTGTATTTAGAAAGTCTTTCCAGAGGTGATTAAATTAAAAAGAGGCCTTTAGGGTGGGCCCTAATCTAGTCTGACTAGTATCCTTATAAAAAGAGGAAATTTAAACCCTGAGACACTAGGGATAAACACACACAGTGGAAAGACCATGTGAGGAAGCAGGGAGAAGCAGGCCATCTATAAGGCAGGGAGAGGGGTTTCAGAAGAAACCAATCTTGCCAACAAGGTTCCAGATTGATCTTGGTCTTCCAGACTTCAGAACTGTGAGAAAATTAATTTCTGTTGTTTGATCCACCCAGTCTTTGGTAGTATGTTATGGCAGATCTACCAAACTAATACAATAACTTAAACATTTACTGGAAAAGATGTATTATAAAAATCTGGAGACCACTGACTCATTTACCTAGGTCATAAATTCTGTTTACTCATTAGCACACAGAAAGAATTTATAGCTCAGGCTCTAAACAAGCAAGTAATTTTCTTCCTATTTTTCCTTCAATTATAAGCTGACCTCTTTCATTAAAGGTAATGCATTTCTGATTTCTGATTTCTTTCCCCCAAAAAACAGGTTTCCATTATTGTTTCCACAAAGCTAATGGATTATTGTTATTTTGATAATTTATAATACTTTTTTAAAGAATATATTTATTTATTTGAGAGAGAGAAAGCAAGAGAGATCACAGAGGGAGCAGCAGACTCACCACTGAGCGGAGGCCCGATGCGGGTCTCGATCCCAGGACCCTGAGATCATGACCTGAGCCGAAGGCAGATGACTGAGCCACCCAGGTGGCCCTATAATCATACTTTAATGTAAGTCTTCAAATATATGAATTTGTTCTTTGGATCAGCTGGAATATATTTCTTGATAAATTAAATAGTATTAGCAGAATCTCAGTTGCAAAGTCTACTCCACTTAGAGAAAAACTTAAGTATTAAAGCAAAGGGTAATAAAGTTTATAAGCTACAGCTTTATTTGTATAAGCAGTTTCACTTTTGATAAGCTTTTGACAACAAAAAGTATTATATTTCTTCAGTGCAGAATGGGATAAACTGCATAACATGAATAGCATACCATCTTGAACTGAGTATTAAGTAAAATATTATCACAGTAAAAGAATACTTAGAGATCAGCTGCAAATAAAATAGCATCTACTACAGATAAATGTTTCTGGGCTATTCAAAATACATTTTACAGGGGCGCCTAGGTGGCTCAGTCGCTTGAGCGTCTATTGGTTTTGGCTCAGGTCATGATCTCATGACTCCTGGGATCCAGCCCAGTGAAGGGTTCAGCACTTAGCAGGAGTCTGTTTACTCCTTCTCACCCTTCCTCTGCCCCCAACCCTGCTCATGTGCACGCTTTCTCTTTCAAATAAATAAAATCTTTAAAAAAAGTAAGTTTTACATATTAAGTCCTTCATTTGACACTTAAAAGACCATTTAATCTTAAGCTTGCAGAAAGCATGGCACTTAATTTTTACCAAATTATATGTTTGATTCTCCCATTATAAAATAAGCAAAATTTGGGGGCACCTGGGTAGCTCAGTTGGTAAAGCCTCTGCCTTTGGCTCTGGTCATGTTCTGAGGGTCCTGGGATCAAGCCCCACATCTGGCTCCCTGCTTAAAGGGGAGCCTGTTTCTCCCTTTGCCTGCTGTTCCTCCTGCTTGTGCTCTCTCTCTCTCTCTCTGTGTCAAATAAATAAATAAAATCTTTAAAAAAAAAAAGTAAAATTTTAAAAACTACTTTGAAAAATTGAGGAAAACACACAACCAGTAACTCTAAAAAATTCATTGTTAACATTTTGTAACATTTCTAGTGTTGCAAGGAATATCGTACGTATGTCATATATGCCTTTTGTGTTAGAGGCATATAGAATTATCTTTTAAGTAAGTAAAAATATATCTTTGGGTCAGTAATTTTAATGTAACAAAAGACAGACACTGGATCATCTAGGATCATAAGGTGATATGATATTTTTAGCTGCCTTTAAAATGACAATATTCTTTTCCACATATATGAAAACCTGTGCAGAGAAAAAAGGTTTCATGTAAAATAAAAAGTCATTATTTTAATCTATCAACTTAAGATTTCTTCCAACAGTCGTATTTGAAAATTCCTTTTCTATTTTCTTACCAAAAAGAAATCGTTTAAATTTATCAAATGAAAAGCAAAACCGCATACTGATGTAAATTATTTTTATTGTGTGAAAATGTCAT